TTTTTTTTTTGTTTTATTTTATTTCACATAATTTATTTTATTATTAGTTAATTAAATTTTTTATAGCTTCAATTTATTTAAAAGATTTACCGCTAGATGTATTTTCATAAAAATAATAATAGTAATTAATTAAAAAATTAAATCCACTGGCCGTGAGACTCGAACCCGCGACCTTGCGATTTTTTAGTCCGCAATAGATATCTACTGCCGTCTGTCAGGGTACAATTTTGAGAGGAGTATATGCTTTATTATTAGACTATTTCACACTCTTCACAAGGAAACATTTTTTCTCCCTCTAAAAGTTAATTATTTAATTTTAGCTATTTTGTTTATCTCAGCAAAATATGCACATATTTTAGTTAAATTCAGAGTTGTACCTTAGCAGGACCACGTTAAAGATATTTGTGTTTCAGCCAAAAAACTATTATTGAAAATCAACGCGATTTTTTTGCCCGTTTGAAACTTGCACTTTAGTTTAACAGACTATAAAACTGCATACCCAGAAATTCGCTAAAAATTAAATTTAAAAAGTTAAAAGCTTTGATGAAAATTTGTTGACTTTTTCTAAGGTCTATAAATATTGCAATTTTAATTTTTACGGTTTTAGTTAAAGCGTTAACCATATTTTTTCAAAAAACTAACAAACAAATTTTAACTTTAAAAACCTTGCAAATATTTAAGATTAACTACCATGTACTCAGTTTCGCACTGTAGTTTATGTACATACATACATACATATGTACTACATATGTATGTACACAGTTTATTAGCATCATCGATACTAATTTTATACGGTTGACAAATGGGCTCGATTATTCGCATAAACAGCCTTTATTTGATTTGACTCTTAATTGCATTTTCCTATTTAAAATGCACATAAGCAGCCGAACCAAAGCACGAAATTTTTGGGAATTATCTCGGATTCGGGGAACTTCGACTACTACACTGGTAAAAACGGCCAGCTTTTGTCTTTTGTACAAGTAAGCAAACCAAGCGGGCGAATTTCGCGTCCGCAGTAGCCGAAATGTGGGAGTTGCGGACTACAAGCCTGTAGCTGCCAGGTTCGATCCCCGGTTGGAGCGATTGCAAACAATGTTTTTGTTTTTATTATTTATTTTATATTTTTTTGTTTTATTTGATTTATATATTTAATTTAACTTGTTTTTTTTATTTTTCGGCCTTATAACAATTATATTCAACAATTTATATTGAGCTCGAGGCCGTTTTTTAAATGAAAATTTATTGTGGAAAAGCAACAATAATTTGAAAAAATGGTAGAAGTGATAGCTATTTCGGAAATCACCACATTTCCTCATCAGACTTCTTTCAGTAGGATTCGAACCGACGATCCCACTGACTCAGCCAGTTGCCTATGCACCGTGCTAAGTACGCCTTGTAAATTATCGTTTGCTTATTTCAACTATTTTCATTTTTGTTATGCCAACACAATCAAGCGAAGCTATTCGGCTGCAATTCACTTGATCATGTGGTTGTTGGTATTGTTGTATTCTACCATTTTTTCAAATTATTGTTAGTTTTCCACAATAAATTTTCATTTAAAAAACGCCCTCGAGCTCAATATAAATTGTTGAATATATTTAATTTTACCTTTTTATTTTAATTTGCTTTATTTTATATCACATTTTTTATTTTACTATTGGTTAATTTAAATTTTTAGAGTTGAACTTTATTAAAAAGTCAACAACTAACTGAAGGCAACGTAAAAAATATAGAACTTATAAAAAAAAGAATGAAAACGAAATAATTGAAAATTCTACTGAGTTTCGAACCCATGACCTTGCGGCTCGTGTATTCGCATTACTGCCGGCCGTAAGGGTAAAATTATTATGCGCATATTTGTGCCCGATTATATGCATAAGCTTTGCCGTCTGTCACAGCTTTTAGCCACCGTAGCTAAGCACGTGTGCATAAATATTACGCCTATACGGAGGGAAGCATGAACCAACGACTACAGATCACCTAATCAGCCATCGTTGTATTTGTAATCGATTTTCAGAAAAAAGTTTTCGTAGCGTTTTTGACGTTTTTCGGTTTTGTTTACACCGTCTTCTACCTCTTCGTAGTGATTTTTTAGCGATTGAATGTGTTTTCTGCAGCGATTTTAATTATAAAATTTGGTTTATTGCATATTTATGATATAAAATAAAGTGCTTTGTGTGATCGGAACAAGTTTGTGCGTATGTTTGGTTTGCCAAAAGGCGTAAATTTGCGTGAAAAGTGGGTGCACGTTTGTGGCCAGAACGTTGGCATTGAAAAATCGACCCGTGGTAATGATATGCGATTGTAAAACACTTTCAATCATGAAAACCATATTTTATGAACTTTTTTTGCTAATTGTCATCAAGTTTCACTTTGTATATTTTATAATAAATACCAATTTAATCGCACTCAATCACCGCGCCTTTTTCGTTTTCTTTGTTTGTTTTCATTCTTAGGCAGATGTCAAAAACGCTCAGAAATATACTTTTTTCTTGCTTCTTTGATTAGGTGATCTTGTATTTTTGGTTCATGGGAGGGAAGCAACTATACATCTCTATCTATACTTATGTATGTTTGTACACACAAATTTCACTGCCACGTGCTAGCAAAAAAAAAAAACAGCAGCAAAAACTAAAAAAAGGAGATCTTTTGCTGGCACGCGTCCAAATTTCCCAATGTAAGCCCCATTCCGTCCAAGAGCCCAAACACAACAAATGTGAGAGAACTCAAACTTGTAAATGTCTAATATCAAAACTCTGGCACGTTTCCGTGGACACCGAACGCACGAAAACTCGATCACTCTCTTTGTTTATGGCGTCTGGCGGATTTCCTCGGAATATAGGCGAAGCACAAAATTCATTGAGCCTTTTTACGCCTTGGTACTTTCTACCCTAGGCCCGGGGACTTTCCCCAGGGTTAATTAAAGAGTTACCATGAACTCGTGTGTGACCCCGAGAAACAAGCATGGAAGACTCGAACGGCTAGCGCCGACTCCAACCAACGTTGCACACTTAAATGTATTTAACAAACCACTTTACGAAAAAGCATCTACGAATTATTGGAAGAATTAATTGTGAATGAAAAACACGCGCAATGCGTATACACTATAGTTTGCTTATAGGCGCATTGAGATGATGTAGTGTAGAACATGCTCAGATGGCTGTAGCACATTAAAAAATAAATGGATGTACATACATACATACATACATACATATGTACATACAAACAATCATTTCTTCGGCATTAAATAAAGCATGTTCAATTTCTATAAAAATAAAGCTCAGCTAGTACAAATATCAAAAATATCTTTAAATGCAATTGGTAATATATTTATTTAAATTTCTCTTTTGTTTTTTTCTTTATTGCAGGGCATCACCTGGGGTTGTGCTTATAAAATTACCGGCAGCACAGCGTTGGATTATCTCAAACAACGCGAATGCACGCTAGGTGAATGCGATTTCTCGCCCTTATGGCATGCAACTTTCTTTGTCAATCTTCTTTTTTCTAAACTACATTAATTTCTTTTTCCATCTAGGCGGTTACGTTATCCTCGAAACAAAGTTCTTCCCGCGTGTCGCTTCCTTTGATACACCATTCAGCGGCGAAGCCGTTCCTGTTTTAGTGTACGTTGCAACTTCTGAGAATTGCCACTGGCTCGGCGAAGACACGCACGATAATATAGCCGAACAGATTGTGGAGTGCCGTGGACCAAGCGGGCATAATGTAGAGTATTTGTTGCGTCTAGCCGATTTTATGCGTGAGGAAATGCCCGATGTTGTGGATCAACATCTATTCGAATTGGAGTTTCTTGTACTGGAAAAGTTACACCAACGTCAAATACCTCTGTGGACTGTGATGGGTGTGTCGCCGGAACGTATACGTCGCGACTCGCACGAAGAAATTAAACGGCCACCCACATTCGAATTCACATCGCGCATTCAGGAGCGAAAATTGCGTTGCTTGAATATATGATTTGAGATTGCAGGACGCGCTAGTGCCGAATTCAAGGCGTTTGTAGCCCACAATAAAGCTGGCTGTAATCAATTGTTGCTTTTATGATATAAGTATGTGTGCATACAGAAAAAATTTTATCTTACATATGTATGTGGCCTTGAGAGCCAAAGTAGCCTAACGTTAAACAAAAAAAAATCGTTACAGCTTAAAATGCATGACTAGAATCGAAACTGTAATAGCCCGATGCACGCCCTTTTAGTTTTATTTTACTATATTTAATAGGTAGCATCATGTAGGTACAATAAACTTGTCAGATNTATGTATGTGGCCTTGAGAGCCAAAGTAGCCTAACGTTAAACAAAAAAAATCGTTACAGCTTAAAATGCATGACTAGAATCGAAACGGTAATAGCCCGATGCACGCCCTTTTAGTTTTATCTTACTATATTTAATAGGTAGCATCATGTAGGTACAATAAACTTGTCAGTGGTTTATAGATCCTTCTTTCTCATTTTACTGAAGATTTTTTGTTTTGTATATGAGGCACATTTGGTTCTCATGGCCTCATAAGTAAATGCATGTTCGTATTGCTGAATACGGCAAATAACTTGGGTAATGATTGAAAATTTAATTTTAGTAATGAGTGCTTTAGTTGGCTCTCATTTCAAGAACAATTGGCTTTCAATGTATGCAATTGTAATGTATTTTTTTACTACGATAATAGTACACTAACATTAATACTTTTAGATGTAAGAGGCAAAAGAGAACTAGATCTACTGTAAGATATTGCTTCCGCGCACAATATCTTTAGAATTGATGTATGTAATTTTGATAATGGCGTGAAATGGAATTAAAAAGAATGTAATATAGCAAAACAAATTTGTACTCAAACTAAAAATTAAAACAAATCAAACCATACTATAGTACAGTGTTTCATTAGTGGTTACTTAAGTCGTCATCAATGCGAGAGCTATTTGACATTCAAATTTTGGGAAATGTACTTTATCTTTAAATATTCATTCATGTCGCTCTCAGGTACACATCGGATGTGTTCAAGCTACGTAGAAATTAACGAAATATTGTAACCTTGTTCCTTTATTGATGCTCTGCTGCTGATGCTCAACTGGTAATATACTGAAATGCTGCATGAATTGCATAGTAACATTTTTTATGTTGCTTTTGATCTTCCAGTGAGGGCAACGGATTGTCAAACTTTTGTTCCTCAAGCGAGTGATGTAGGCAGAGTCGTACATTTACTGCTGCTCGAAAACACGCCTCCCTACCAAAATGCACGCGTTCTTGCGACAGTCGGGTCTACGTAACCGGAATGTCCCAGATCTACATCTACATATCTGGCCAAGGACTGTCACTCCAGCTGATTCCCCGAAACCTCTTTTCATAGTTTTATGCTGCTCCAACTTAAATTAAAAACTAAATCTTAAAAAAATACATGACCCTAAGAAAAAATTTAAATTTTGAATTTAGCTTTAACAGTTTCGCCGTTTGAAATTTCTGGTTAATTTATAGATTTGATTTTCAGTAAATATGTTGTGCTGCTTATTACTTTACATTTGCAGAACATATCCCATCAGCTATTTCTTATGAGTACATTTTGCATTTTATTTCATTTATAATCTAAACGTTGAAAAAAAATTCAAAAAAGGTTTCAAAAAGTATTAGTTGGTTAAAATTTCAGCGGCACGCGTTTCCATCAGTTTCTCCATTGATGTTATAGATGCCATCCAATGGTCCAAGGTTGTGGCCATGCCGGCGATTTGTTTGCGACCCAATACCCGTGGTTGCACCTAAGATCCAATAAAAAAGAAAATACTCGTTATGTGTAAATAATTTAAACAGAAGTTACAGTGTACGTACCCATGACATATTCACCACTCCAGCGACCTGATCTATTTCGCCACGTACTAAATCTTGGGCAAGCGCTTTCATTATTAACAATTCAACTTCGTTCAAAGGCAGCGTTGTTTCCTTTGCAATTTCCTCGAACGATATCGAACGTTGAATGGCTGAACGTTGGAAAGTCATTTCCATTAGACAAAGTAATGAGATTTTTTTACGCAATTTTACTTCTTGCGCCGCCAAATCAGGAATCTTTGACCAAATTTTCTTCATCTCATTGAACCTGTTTATGAAAATATTATTTAAATAATGTATATAATTATTATTGTATACAGCACTAAGAATATACTTACTTTGGAATGTTGCCTGTATTAAATGCTTTCAATAATTCAACAAGCCACTCGTTGTCTGTGCCTTTCAACGACTCCAGAATTGGATGTGCAAGCTTTTTAAAAATGAATTACAAAAGAATTATACAATTTTTTTATACTAAACGAAACATACCAATTCACCGATATTATAAATGCCATCACCTAGCAATGCTGCTAAGCCAAGGAAAAAAGCTTGTTGCGCCCACTCATCTTTAGGATAATCATCGAGCGAACAGCCAAGGAATTGCAATCCACAGCGATAGTAATCACTGTGTTGGCCAACTCGCCGGTAGTACTGTGAGGCGAGCATATAAAATTTACCATGTACTGGTGTAACATTTCCGGCTTCTTCGAGCACATCACGCAATTCCTCAATTATTTTCTTTGTGGCGTCCAAATCATTAAGGTTGGTCAAATAAATGTTACCTTGCAATACCTACAATTTTTGGATCTTTTATAGTGTCTAATGAATATTACAAAATTGCTTTTTACCCTAATATACCACACTGCTTCATCGCAAATATTTACTTTCTCCTTCAGTTTTTCTAAGAACTCAACGGCTTCCTTCTTATCGGAAATATGTTCTACCACTACTTCGAGAATTTGCACTAGCCCATATGGATTTATCCTGTAATCGGAAATAAATAAATAATATAAACTTTGGTAAAAGACTGTAAGTCAAATTTTACTCACTTCATTTCGAAAGACGATATGAAGTTTTGGTATAATTGTAGCAAAGTATCCTCATCTTGCAGAGCGGGATGACGAACAAAACGCGTTAACAAAATAGTCAATTCATTCCATAACCTAAAGTTCATAAAATATTAACCAAGGATTAAAATAAAACGAAAGAACTCGGAATATGTTGGCGTCCCGCAACTTCTTACTTTTCGTTGTGCAAATCTTCGATGGTAGTCCACTCGGACGCAAGTTCCTTGTTGGCTGTTTTCTTTTGTGCTGCTAAATAAGCTGATACGTTTGCTGATGGTGCTGTCATTGCTTCAATTTTTATAAACTTTTATTTATTTTTTGGAACGAACGCCAAGTTTCCAAAATTGGTTAGGAGAAAATTTTTGCAAATCACGACCCAACAAATTTGTCAAACAAATGTCACGGCACGTTAAAAATCAAAGAAAACAACACTGGAAACAATTACAAAGCAAAGATGAAGAAAGGAAAATACACAAAACAAAAACAAGAATGAAAGTCAGTACAGGGATAGATCACAAAACTTCCACTGGAATGCACTACCGGACGTCACTGGGATGCACTACTGGAAGTATAGGGTGATAAATAAATAAATCGGCAGTTGCTGCTACTGGTCGCAAGGGGTTTAACCCGTTGCGTACCGTGGAAANCAAAGCAAAGATGAAGAAAGGAAAATACACAAAACAAAAACAAGAATGAAAGTCAGTACAGGGATAGATCACAAAACTTCCACTGGAATGCACTACCGGACGTCACTGGGATGCACTACTGGAAGTATAGGGTGATAAATAAATAAATCGGCAGTTGCTGCTACTGGTCGCAAGGGGTTTAACCCGTTGCGTACCGTGGAAAAAACCAGCACTTTAGTGGGGATATGCTACAAAGCAACGAAAAATGGTCGGCAGCATGTAACGCAATAGCAGGCGTTATGAAAGGGCTAATGACTTACTTTCTCCCTCACGATTTAGTGCTTGACACCATTCCAGTGGGGTGCAGAGTTCTAAGAAATAACATGTTTTTCCTTGTTTTATAGCTACATTTTAAGAATATACAGAACAAGTATAGAATACTTTTAATTTATGAATTCTCCTGATATGAACAATTTAAATATATAAACATTAGACATGTTGCAGTTGTTTTGTGCGAATTTTCTGGTAACACAAGTGAAATTGGAATTTTCTGCATTCACTGTTTAAAAAGAAAAAAAGTGGTGTAGGAAAGTTTGATTTTCGGAAATAAAAACTGCTTTCGAAAGTCGCTATACATGCAAGGTCCTGTAATAACTTTTAGAAATTCTTTAGTTTGGCAGACTTTTGAAAAGAACTTGCAGTTGCACCGTTTAACTGCTCCTTTATTTTATTGACGGCAAATTTTTAACCTAATTGGCATCTTTGGAAGTTATGTAAGTGGAATTCATTTATCATCTGTTTTTGGGTTCCACATTTTTTGACAGCGCTCTACACATTCCGTTTTGTTTGCTGTTCGTAAATACCTATTTGGACGTTCTCTGCTTTGTGGCTAGGTTAGGTGTTGAGTTCCAGATCACTTGGTGCATAGTTGGTCCATTGTGCTGGCTTAAATCGGTGATAACTCGGAAGAAACAGAAAGTTAAGCATTCGCGTTAAAAGATAACATTTTGTAACACGTTCAATTAGCGAGTTAAATAAAGTGAAGTGAAGTTGCGTGTCGTGCGCGTCTGAAAACGGAAGCAGGAAAAAGTGAAACTATCGGTCGATGCGACGAGCCATCAGTAACGTCATAAGCGGTAAGGCGTAAAGAAAGTAAAAGCAATAAAGAAAATTGAGGAAGTTTATTCGGCGGTAAAGAAAAATCGAAAAACTAAGACAAAAAAGTGCACGGAGATTTATTTTCACAATTATAGACGCGCGTGCAATAAGCCAATAGCCGTCCGTCTGTCAACTGCGCTGACCGTTCGGTCCGTCTTTTGCCAAAGTGTATTCATTATATAATTCATTTTTTATAATTTCATGAAATAAATTGTTTAAATTATTGACAACCATTGAATGCTAATAGATTTTATCGCGGACAGAAGTGAAAAATTCCGGGCTACGCAATATTATCGCTTTCAATTCCTGTGACAAGCGAACGAGAAAGTACGAGAAACAATCAGACAATCCACGATACAAAAATTGCAAATATATCACACCTGCGGCAATTCAAAGAGAACTGGAACAAAAGGTTAGTAGTTCGGCACATCACTCCATTACATATAAACTTTGTCCACATACATCCATATGTTTAGCCAGGCAGCAGTGGCAAGCGCCGACACTATTCCATGTCATTGCGCGCGCCCTGAACAACTGTTCAATATTCATCAATTAAAGTCGTGCTAAATACAGGGCCGCGACCTCAACCAAGCTGTGAGCACCATAGACTCGGTCACTGGTGGTATATGCACATTTGTACGTTTATATACATAGTGTGTTAACAACGAAATGCTGCAGTTGCTATCGTTGCCAATATATAAATACAATATACGTACTACATATATATGTACATATATGCCTGGTTCTGCAGCTGCTGGTTACTTGTATGTTTTTTGCACTTGGGGACCGGACCACTTGCTCTTATTTATGGCCCGTCTGAATTTTTCTAGCACTTAACAGATGTGCTATGCACACATTATAAGGCACAACTTCTCCAATTGTCCACTTTGCAAGGCGTTCATTTGAATTGCTTTTCCGCTTTATTGCTGCATTATTTATTAAAATTGTAGACAAGAGACATAGGATATATAAAGCTGCGCAACTATAATAAAATAATTAAGTAATAATGACTATGAATTAGAGATAATAAAAAAGGAATTCGTATAAAAAGGGACATGTTTAAATAATATTTCTGTTGTTTAAGTACTATAATTATACATTAATTTAAAAAAACCAAGTTCAGATCTTAACTGAATTTTCCGCATGTTTAGAATTGCTCAATTTATTTGCATTTTACGCCGAAATGGTTCATAAGACTAAGTACACATAAATTAATTTTCCTACTAGGAGGAAAAATACAGGGCCGATGCGAGTAGTAATTCGACCATTTCGAAACGAACGCAGGTTTCCACATTATAGCAAACAAATTTTGGAAAAAATGGTAATGGTAATTGGTAATGATTGGTACAGAAGATTCAAAAGAAAACGAATAATGTACTTACATGGAGATGTTGTCCAGCAAGACAATTCTTGTTCTATAAAGTAGTGAAGTGAAAACGAAAAATTCAAACTCAGTGAAGATTTTATTTTTTCACTATATCATCACTTTTTATTTAATTTTAAGCGATTCTCGGTAATTAAATGCTATTTTGAAAAGTTTTTGTTAATTTGAGAAAATTATATTCTTTATCTTGTATATGATGTATTCGAGCAAAATGCGCAACTTTTCTTTTCACAACCACAAAAATTGGCAAAAAAATACTTTCACTATGAAAACTTTTATTTTCATTTAAAAACATATTCTTAATTATATGTGAAGTGATGGAAAACATATTTTCACTTCATATTTTCACAGAACAGGTATTGGCCTCAGAGCTGTATAATGATTGAACCATTTGAGTTTTCATTTGCTTTGTAATTTTAACCGACTTCAATAAAAGGAGTACGCTATCAATAGGTCGGAATATATTTATTTATGCCCTCATTTCTAAGCTTTTGAAGGGATATGCCTTCCGTGATCGATTCTCTACTACTTTTACTTTTTTATGTAATGCCCAAGGCTTTCAAGGCCTTCTGATTCAGCTTCCCTTATGGTCTGATTATGCATACTTCGCATAAACTTCAAACTGTAATTTCGTATGTACTTTGTATGTATTTTGTGGCCCCTATTATGAGT